AAATACAGAAGGTTCCTTTCCTACCGATAAGGAAATCAAAAGTTGGGTTTCTTTAGTGGGAGAAGCTGGAGACGGAGTGCTGAAGTTCATTTTTTCTTAATTTTCACTTGAGCCTTTCTTTGGGGCAGGCTTGTTTTTTTTCTCACGGAACAGGAGGGAAAGGTTTTGAGATCTTTCAGGCCGTGGTTACCAACAGCAAAGGAATGGAGAAGAAGGCATCATAAGCAATGTGAATAATCCAGAACTTTTAAAAAGGATTTCTTACACGCAAGCTTTGGCATGTGCCAGATGGGGCATGAATAATGGCAAGCTACTTATGGGGGGTGGGGAGGACATGTATGATTAGATTTTTTAAAAAATGCATGGAAAAAGGCCCAATTTAGGTTGGGCCTAGAGGCTAGATGTGAAAGTGTCCACCTGTGTATTTCTCCAATTTAGGCATCTCTGCCTCTAACTCTCTCTAGAGATGGGATTGTACAGGTATATTTTCCCCCCAAGGAACGAATGGAAAGTAAAGTCCAGAACCAGCTCTATTATTGGACAAATGGGACAATCATGTCTGTGCATTATCTTCCCATGCAATGGGTTTAGCTAAAGCCATGAAGCTAGGTGGGCTTCAGAAGAACCTGTTGACCATTCCTGATCTCTGTATTTCATCATCTGAGTCCCTCTTGTGAGTTGCTTTTAAGAGGTCACGTTCTGGGGTAAAGTATGGGATCGACTTCTAAGGTGAACTGGTATTTTTTTTACAGATTATTTAGATCAGGAGAACGATGGAAGAGGAAAAGATAAAATATTATCTCTTTCCAGGCTGCCCCATCAAGTAAAATTGGAGCTCTTGTGCCTCCACCCATCCCATCTGGGGCTGCCTTAATTAGAAAAAATCAGAGCTTCCGATCTCAGCTTTGGCAAGTGCCTGGTCCCGTGATAAAGCTTTGAAAAGCTCAAAGATCAAGAAGGTTCCTCAAAGATCAAGAAGGACCAGTTGGGCTGCTGATGGATTGGAGGATCATTCCCATCCTCCCAACCGTTTCTGGGGATCAGGGTGGTTGTGGGAAATGCCAGTGGGGAAAAGATTTGGGGCAAGCGTTGCTACCCGAATCCAAACTCAACCATAGCTTTGCCTCCAGGCCTAGATGACGTTTGGTTTTCCAACTGCTCTTCCTAGGGGTACAGAATCTTCTTTAGGGTACATCTCAACCCTAAGGGACAAAAGTCCACATTTCCCTTCTAGACTTTGGTTTTGCTTCTCGGGAGGGAACTTTGGCCCTGCTGTATGGTGGCAGAATTCCACTTGCTACCAGGCCTTTTCGGTCCAGCTTGACCTGAAATCTCTTCCAGTTACTGCTGCAGAATATTCTGCTCTATTTGTCCTTTTTTTGCCAATCTGGAGACTTACAAACAGTCCCAGCAAGCCTCTCTGCCCCTTCCCTGTTCCAGTCACCTCTTTAAGTTTCCCAGCAAAGGGAAAGATAGTTTTTAAAGCAAACAAAAAAATGTATTTAAGAACTGCAAGACCGTTCCTCACCAAATAAGGTAGACTGCATGTTGGGCTCTAAGCCGTTTCCTTTATAAATGGGCTTGGAGAATTTTCTGGTCCTGATTTCTTGTTTCGTCCACAGAGAAGCTGGGTCTTTTCTTTCTTTCTCCATCTTCTGCCAAGGGGAAGAGTCCCGTTTCTAAATGTCATGTATGTCCGGGGAATGCGGATTTTTCTTTCTTTCTTTTTTTTTAAATCACCCACTGAGGGACTGTGAGAAAAAGCTGAGAAATCTCCTTTTGGGCTTTTGGTGGGGAAAATAATGAAAGCAGTTGCAGAAAACGGTGGTGCTCCTCAAGCCGAAGGTGATGCGCTGCCTCTACGGGAAGACAGCGGATGGACGGCATGAGAACGGATCACTAGGGCCAGCTGTTCCATTGGGCAGAGAAGAGAGGACAGATTTTAGGAGAAAAGGTGAATTCGCTCAATGGTTTGGGGTTTTTTTTGTTCTCTTGCCCCACCGTAAGGTTGGCGTAGTTGGATTTTCCACCCCCCAAATGGTCTTGGGGCTTCCTTCTCCAAGTGCCTACAGAGCCTCCTTGAACTTTGCTTCAATCCAGCAAGAAGGTTCCTTCGGAGGCTGAAGAGCAAAGATTTTAGAGACAGGAGTGTTTCACTCGGGGAAAAAGCGGGAGAGATGCTTCTCCTGTCTCTGGACAAGGCACACTGGACTTCTGCGCTTGCATTCACAAGCCTTGCCGTGCCCCATGGCAGACCCTCTCCCTCTCTCTCTCGCAGAGACGGTGTGGAGAAGTTAACTGTTTCTTCCCTCTGCGGCTAATGCGCAGAGTTCCCACTGCAGTCAGCAGGTCCTGTCGACCAGCCAGTGCGCCGGCAAATAAGCTTAGCTTAGCTAGAGAGGCTGAGACCCTGGAAAGCCCTTGGTTCAACTTTGCGGTAAGGCATTTATCCCCTCCAACCTTCCGTGGTAGAGGAGCAGGTCACGCTCTGCATCCCGGCTGTGGCTTATTTACTCTGATTTGGGAAGAGGGGAGGGGAGGGCAAGGGAAGGAGAGGCTTTTCCCCATAACATAAGCCAGCTGTAAAAGATTGCTGCACAAGATCTGAAATTTGGGAGGGGGGGTGTAAGAAGAAAGAGTGTAGAGTTGCAGAGAGGGCACAAGGCAATCTGGAGAAGGCTGCTGGAGGGGGGAGTGGAGAGGAATGTCATTTGCATGACCAAGCCAAATGTTTTTTTGGGGAGGGGCGGGGGGGTGATCTGTCTTGGAATATATTTTTGGCTTTTGTTTTGCTGCAGGGTTTGGGCGGGAGGCCAAAATGGAGAGCAGGAAGAGGGAAACATCTTTGCCCGGCTTGATTTTGACGACAGATGAGTCGTCCCCTCCTTTTCCTCCTCAACCATCCCAAACTTTTTTTTTTTCCCTTTTTAAATTACGTATTTCCTGAAGTTAAAAATCTGCATGTCGTTGGGATTTGAAAGAGCGAAGAGGTCACAGGGGGATCCAGGTTAGCAGGAAAAAGGTAGAGGTCCAAGGATGTTCCTGATGAAATTGGCAGTTGGAGTTGGGTTTTTTTTAACGAGATGGGCGGTGACAAATTTGACATATAAATAAATAAATATATATGTAAATAAATAAACAAACAAATAAAAATTTATTTACTTGCGGGGGTGGGGGTGGGGTACCCACAAAAAGTGGGTGAAATGGGGTAAAACAGCCATCCAAAAATGACTCCAAGTTCCTCATTAGATCTTCTCCTTGGAATTATGCTTTTTTCATTTACTTTTAATTAAATTCAGACTCATGGGGTTTCTCATTTTGTTATCCTGGTATTTCCCACCAGACTTGACTTATATGGATTCTTTTACAATGAAAGAGTAAAATAATAGTAGTAGTAATAATAATAATAATAATGAATAATGGAACATCATCTAAATAATGAAAGGGCAATTAAGGGGCTGTTCTTTCCTAATTCTTTAATCACACTGAACTGAACATAAGAAGGGTCAGAGCTTGAAGCAGGAAGCTACTAGTTAACATTGCAGGGGGCCTTTAATGGACTGGACTGATCTGTGAATGAACATTGTACAAGTATCATGACCTGGATGTTGGGCCATGTGTGTTGTGATTTCAGCTGATTGTGGGAAAACACAGCCGAAAGGTTGCTCATTTCTAATGTGACATGACATTAATAAATAACCCAACTTGAATATCCAGGAGGCAGATGGGTATTGAGAATGACCTGATGTTCTAGGCTGAAAATCGTGCTGTAATTAAGCAATCAGTCATTAAGGCTATTGGGAAAACTGAGTAGGCTTTGTTAAGTGTATCACATTCATATGATTAGGAACGAGATAGACAGTTGAAGTTAAAATATTTGGGTAAGGAAGGCTTTTTTAGGTATAAAATCACCCAACTATTCTATAGAAATATTAAGGATGACTGAAATAATGTTTAGCACTGTTCTTCACAATCAAGGCTCAGAACTATAATTTACAGGAGTGGTCACTGAACTGAACTCAAGTCTTCTGGGGACTTCATGGACATGTCCATGACATTCTGTTGGCAATGATATGGAAGTCTTACCTTTGCCTTCTTCTTGGATGTCTTTAAATGCCCCAGTCCAGCTTGCGGTCCTAGGATCTCCTGATGCTTCCCATGCATCCTGCTTCATTTTTAAGATCAGCCAGCATCAGTGAGGTGCATCCATTTAGCTGGGCTGTAGTCCTCATTCCAACAAATTGGGAAGTAACACCGGTAGGGTTAGGTGTTCCTTAGGGAATTCCTTGCCACAAGAAGGGGTGAAGGCCAGCTGTCCACAGGGATCTCAGCTGTGTCTGTATGGAGCCTCCAAGGTTAGAAGAAATGTATCATGGGTAAGGGAAGAAGCATCCAGGCCCAGGGGGCAAGACAGGATGCTAGGTTAGATGGTGCAGATGGTTAGATGGTTCTTTCTTACCTTCCAAACTTCTTCTTCATCCCCAGGAATTAACGCCCAGGCCCGGAAGCTCCAGCGTAACCGGACCAAAGGCACTATGACCCTCTTGACGGCTTGCCACTCTTCGCCCCCCAGCCTTAGGCGCACCGTCAGCGAAACCAGCCTCAGCCAGGCAGGCCCACCAGAGGACCAGAAAGAGGAGGGCCCCCTTCGGCGGCACTACTCCACGCTGCCAGAGACCCTCCGGTGTCTGGAGGGGGTGCCGGACGGGCGGGCGGCTCCCGCTGAAGAGCCCAACGGAGGCAACAGCCTGAGACTCTCGCTCTACCAGTCCCCGCATCTTCTGCTCCTGCAGGGGTACAGCCAGCAGCATGTAAGTGTCACCTCTCACCTGAGGCAGCCTTCTTCAAGTTGCCCCCCACTAGATGCCTTGGACTGCACCTTCCATTATTCCTAGCCACCCTCCAAGTGCATTGGATAGCCATGCTCGTGATTCTTGGTGGCCAGGATGCTCCCCTATCCTGGAGTTCCTTAGACTGCAACAATACTTGTATTCCTCTAGCCAGGTTCTGTGACTCCCTCTCTCCAGGAGGGTTGGACTACAACTCCCATTACCCCCAGCCAGCATCCTTCCCTGTCCTGCTGTTCTCTAGACCCATTACTTATTCACTCCTCTCAGCCCCTTCCCTTCTCAGCCAGCATCCATCCTGGCCCACCCCAGAAGACATCCATCATCCCAGCATGTTTGGTAGGACCAGGGTCCTCCGTCTGTGTGTGGGAGGGAAGCTCTGTGTTGCTTTTGGAGGCCCTTCTTTTGGGCTGTGAAAGGGAAGTCCTCTCTGCAAGTCCCCTGAGCTTGACATGGGGGTCCCCCAGTCAGAACAGATTGCCCCGGGCTTGGCCCTTTCTACCTGCTTGTGTGTTGGACTCCGTAGGACAGTCTGGTGTACCTGCTGAACCGCGAACAGCACACAGTTGGCCAAAGGACCCAAGCCAGCAAGCCGAGCATTAGCCTTTCGGCTCCGGACATCCTTCCTCTCCACTGCACCATCCGGCGGGTGAAGCTGCCCAGCCGTTCTCACCACCGCTCCGAGGAGAAGCTCATCTTGGAACCCATCCCGGGCGCTGGGGTCTCCGTCAACTTCTCCGAGGTGGGAAGAACGGTCGTGCTCCGTCCTGGCGATCTCATCTCCCTTGGCCTCTCCTACCTGTTCCTCTATAAGGACCCTCTCAAAACTCAGCTGCTGCCCACTCAGACCCTGGTGAGGCTGAAAGCCATGCGTCGGGCTTCTGAACCCGAGCTGTCGTCAACCTGCAAGATGTGTGGCAGCCACTTCAAAGACAAGGCCTCCTCTTCCAAGAAGCAGGAGGGCCAGCCCCCCTCTGGCCGGAAGGGTGGCCGGAGGAAGCTGCAACTGGAATTTGACAAGGCCAATGAAGATCTCTTGCTGAGAAGAATCATCACGCTCATCGAACCCACAGGAGATGACCACAAGTTGGCACCAGCCTTTTTACTGTGTCTCTGCATCCAGCACTCTGCCACCCACTTTGGGCTGGGAGACTTTGGGCAACTGCTTCTCAAGTCAACCAAAATGATCCAGAAGAGTGTGTGGGTCAGTAGCTTTGTTGTTGGCTAAAAGGAGGAAGTGGGGGATAGGTAGGATTAACGATTTGGGCTTTGATGGTGGGGCACCTTTAGTCCTTGCCAGTTTCAGTCCTGAGTCTGTTTTCACCGCCTCTCACATCTTCTTCTGTTCACTTCCCCTCTCTCCGTGTCAAAATTTGCACGATCTCTGAATGCCATTTTTTCAGAAAATGCAAGTTATTTTACCCGGATCATGCTAAGATCCTCAGTTTTGTACCCATGCCACTGTAAGCCTTTATGGTGTGTGTCCTATTCTCAGAATACGCACTGTTTATCAGTTTTATACGCATTGTTTATCAGCTTTGCTTTCTTTTTAAAAGCCGTTCAATGGAAAGTTGTGGTTTGCACAACGGCTCGAATTCCGAATGGTTGTTTCAACATCAAAACACTTGCAGAGGCATCAAAGCAGCCTCTTTCAAATGCCAAATGCCCATTTCCAACTTGAAGCAACCGTTTTGAATTAACAATGGGGCATTTTGAATTCCAAACAGGTTGACGTTGAAATGCTTTGCATGCCCCTCCCGTACACCAAAGTTAAGTGCAGACACTGAACGGAAACTCCATTCTGATGGCCCCACTCGTTTAGGCAACGTGAATTGGGTTGGTCTTCTTAAAAATGTAGATGAAATCCTCGCTCATCCTCCTAACTGCCACCGGAACTGGAATGTGCGGGTCAAGCATGAAAAGAACACTGACTCTTGCACGTAATTTTTGCTGTTTTGGTTTACACACAATGAGACACACACACACACCCAGCCTGGAGATCAGAGATAGCTTTGTCTGTTTCTCTACTCCCTTATGTCACTGGCATATATTTTAATTTTTTTTTATTTGTTTTGGTGTGTTTCCTGGTTCTAGGAGAAAACAAACGAGCTTGCAGAAAAGCAGTCATTACAGTAAGTTTTCTGTATTCCTATTTCTTTCAAAAATGGGTCACCTCCCATGCAAGGGTGGGGCCCAAGATCTCTGAAGGATGGCATCTTGGCCTATGATCTTTCTCTTCAGAATCTTAAGGGCCTTTGGAAATCCCCTCCATCAAAAAAACATGTAGTTGGTGGCAAGACAAAACAGGGCCTTCTCTGTGGTAGCACCAGAATTTGGTCATTCCTTTTAAAGGGAGGTTAGATGAACTTTCACACCTGATGACTTTTAGACCATCAACAAAGAGCTTTTATTTCTCATGGCATTTGTTATTGTCCCTAGTATTGCTTGGCAATCTTCTCATGATGTCAGTCTGACTATCCATACTTTGTTCCCTAGAGTAACCCTAGAGATCTTGTCACGCACTACATCTTTGCCTATTAAAAAATCTTGCCCGTCTTGGTGTAGAATTTGCATTCCCATGGAGCAAAATTTAGGTTGGATTTTTTTGTTGTTGTTGCTTGCAACAGGTGACGCATGAAAGAGACAATGGAATCTTTTGGGGAATTGCAACCGCTATCAGTCTGTTTTCTTTGCACACACCGATCCCTCATCATGTTTGAGCAGCAGATGTTCACTTATCAGATGAGCAAATGTCCTTTTTTGCTGTCCTGTAGGCAAAGCTTTGATAGCAGCACCCCAAAATATCTTCCACAAGATCAAATAGCTTTGAGGAGACTCTCCACTCAGAAAGGTTTGAGTTATGACTGCAGCATTTAAAAAAAAAAAAAATCTAAGTGGGAAAAAAAAATCCACGAAAAAGTTAATCCAGAGTTTCCGGTCTTCCTTAGATAATTGGAGCACTCCTACTGGATAACTGGGGGGTGGGGAGGTGGGGGCTGTCCTTTTGGCAGACCTCATTGAAACGGAGAAAGAAGCCCCTGCGGTTTTATGTTTCATATTTCGAAGCCTCCCTTTGCTGGCATTTGTAAAAAGACTAATGATCTGATACAGGGGAGCAGTGATAGAACACAGCAGGCATGAGAAAAGAGCTCGTATTTTAAAAAGGGATAAATCTGAGCCAGCAAAGAAGAGGAAGCATCAGTGCTGTGTAGGGATAAGGGGAACATTTTGGTGGGGGAGACCCAGATTCAACCCCCACCCGGCCTTGAAGTTCATTGGTCTAACCTATTGTGTTGTTTTAGTAGAGATGTGAAGGACTGTACGGGCTCCCCCAAGAATTTCCCTATTTTCTTTCTCCCCTGTGCGTTCACCACTCTAGCAGACAGGGTAGGACCCTTGAAAAGTAGAGGCCCACCTGTTCTGCAGAGTTCTCTGCAGAAAACAAATCCCCGCTTTACTTCCGCTCACCGGTCATCCTAATTTCCAGCTGAGGTTTCTTTTAACTCTCCTTGCCTATCAGGGCGATGGATGAGCTGTCTAATCGGAAGAAATGCTCTCTCCCAGCATCCAATCCCACACATGCTTCTTGGTGGTCAAGCTGATGACCAAGGAATGGAACGGACTTCTCCTGTGCTGGCTGAGCATTTGGGGAGAGGTAATTCCAGCTCCTTTGGAGGTGCACAAGGGCGACTGACGTTGAGCTCTAGGGCATGTCTCCCCTTGCAAACAGGAGTTGGAAGCCTAGAGAAAGAGCTAGGCTGGCCTCTCTTTGCAGCTGTTTGCCACCCAACGTTCTTCTGCTCTTGGCTTACTTCCTTCCATTAAAAAACCAGATGATATTTGGAACACAGTCTTACGTAGGTCCTTCCAGAAGCAGATTCCCCTTAAGTTCAAACTGGGATGGATCTCAGAAGAAGCATGCTCCAATATTTGGGTTCATTTCTGCCCCTATTTTTCTTCTTCCTCTTCCTCTTCCTCTTCCTCTTCCTCTTCTTCTTCCTGGTGGAATTGCACCACGGGCCCAGTGTGAGAGCTATGTTCGATTGATTGCTCAAGTGGCTGTTGGATGACAGAACTCGCTGGGTTGGCTTTGTGTTTGTCCTTAACCCACAACCCAACATACTTCCCAGGGTGGTGGTTGGGGAGAGATCTGTGTCATCCCAGGACAATTGTCTCGTGCTGTTAGGAAGCATGGTCTACCAATGAAGTCATTTGAGGAGAGAAATAAATACAACCAGCGCATTATGTTCTGCTCAGGCCAACAGGGAGAGCAGAAACTGTTGGAAGACTGATAAGCTGAAAAATAGGCCAAAAGTGAAGTGGAAAGATTGTAATTTGGCTCCCCATAGAAGGAGACAGCTTGGGTGGCCTTTTGAAACCCTTTTCAGTCCCAGGAATCTGGCAGCAAAATGACCCAGTTCAAGCTGCATTTGAACAGGCAGGCGATGCAGGACCCTACAAATGGAAAGTGGGCTTGGTTTGTATAACTCCCAGTGCAGAAATTGCAATGTGATCTCTGCAATAGTTTGGACAGCTGTGAGAACAACACATCTGTCTGCAGGCACCAAATAGGGTGGGATCTGTTGCCCAAACTGGTTGGCTCAGCACAAAGTCATCAACAGAACAACGGTTCCTTCTGGCCAGTCCAACAGCCAGAAGCTGATGGCCTGGGAAGACTAGAAATCGTCTTCAATTTTGCAGTTTAGGAGAGTAAGTCAAGAGGAATGGAGTTTGTTGAGGTTGATAATCGAGAAAGACCTGTCGCTTCACGGCTGTGCGTGTACTTTTCGTTCGGAAGGCCCTCAGTTTAGTCTGCAGCATCTCCTGGTTAAATTGCCCACGTAGCCGAGAAGAATAATCTTTGCTCTGAGAGTGCTTGAAAGGGCAGAAGGAAACATTCATCCAAGTTTTAGCAACAGTCCCCCTTTGCTAATGCTTTTAGAAGCCCAGAGAAGAATGTGTGATTTAAAAGAAGTCAGGCTAGAACTTTTCGATCTGTTCCTCCTAGTTTTCTGACTTTGCAAAGTTGAATGTTGCTTGTAAGCCATGGTCTGTCCAAGGGGACAGATTGTCCAAGGCAGATCAGTAGGTGGATGCTCCATATTTATATCAGGGGTGCACAATCGGTGCTCCTCAAAAGCCTTGGATGTGTCCTCCCTGATCTCCTCTTGCTCCAGGCTCCAGCTCCTTTGGGGAATGTGCCCCCCAGCACACAGGCCCTTTGAATCCCCAGTCTTCTATTCCCCATCTTTGCTCTCTGGATTGCAGAGAGATGATCCACTCTGTCAGATTAAGCCCTCTTCATCCTGGACACATTGGGAGGAGGTGAGCTGGTCCTGCAGGCTATGCAGCTGCACAGATCTTACTTTATCTGGATCAGGAGAGGGCAGCCTATGTGCAAGTGAGATCCATAAATAGACTTGCAGTTTTGCATGAGAAGCTGGGATGGTCAATCCATTAATTGCAAGACTCAGTTCATTTCCATCAGGGTTGTCCTTGGCTGCAAGCAGGCATAGAGGCAAAAATCCCACTGGGGATTGAAGTAGGGAGAGGCAGTTCTCACCCTTCCCAACCCACTGCCTTCCAGATGTGCTAGGAACACAACTCCCAAAATAGGACCAAGTGAGAATGCTGGGAGCTGTTCTCCCAGCCCATCTGGAAGGCAGGTCCAGGAGAGCTCTCATAGCCAGGTTAGACTCCTTGGAATGCCTTTTAATTCTTGGTGTGTTTTGTCAGCCAGGATCCAGTGTCGCTTTCCCGGTTTACCATCACAGACCTTCTGCCCGACCTTCAGCATGTGCTATTCTGGATGTCCAACTCCATCGAAATCCTGTATTTCATTCAGCAGAAATCCCCCGTTTACATCCAGAACATGGAAGAGGAGCTGGACATCAAAGGTAAATGGTGGGATGTCCATTAATAGATCTGAGGTGTCAATAATTGCTTCCTTGAAATTTGGATAGAACTAGAACGTCAGGTGGAACCTGACTTTAATCCAGTGCCATTTCTGGGGGTTGGGGAAACTGGTGGCCCTCCAAATATTCCTGAACTACCCTTCCCTCCATCCTCAGCCAACGAGGCCCATGGTGAGTGATATTTGAGCTGCTTTGCCCCTTGGTTTTATTCACTGCACCCCACCTGGAGATCTGTTGTGGTTAAATTGGGATTTAAGGAAGCAAAGAGCTCAACATTTTGGAGGGTCACTAGTTCCCTCTCTTTGCTGTGCAAACAACTCTTTTATGGGCCACCAGCTGGACCATGAAAGGTCATAGAAGGAAAACACAGGCATCTTTTTGCCCAGCAAAGAGAAATCCCCCCTCAGATTAACAGAAACAATTCCCAGTGCGAGGAAAGCAAACTCAAATTGGATGAAAACTGTCTAATTCCTCAGCTGTGTGACCTTGTGTTATCTTTCTGCTTCTCCTCCTCCATGCCCAGCTTCATCCCAATGGGAAAAGTAGAGCAAGCAAACCATGTTCTGGATGCCTTCCATGTTTTTGTCCTATCTCAGTTCCCATGCTGATAGTACACCAAAGAAGGTCAGGCAGGAAAATTCAAGCTCCGCTATGGTTTCCAACCAAAGTTCAGATCCTCTAGCAAAAGAGGAAGGTCCTGGCAGAGTGAAAGAGGGAGTGTGCTGAGGACGGTGGAAGGAGGAGGTGATAAACTCCAGGAAATGTAGGACCCAGGTCTCCTTCTTGACTTTCCCAAAGGAATAAAATCTTTGGAGCTATGTGGAAGCACTTAAGGATTCCTCAAGTGGATCCTTCAGTCTGGGACTTGCGTGT